CATGGGCACCTGATTTTAGAAGAGAGGAGGGGTGGGGCATGTCAGGGAACACATTCGATCGCAACAATCCTATAACAAAATAAAAAAGTTGCTGGGGCAAGTTGGGGCGCGTACTCAAACCTCGGGCGAAGACACTGAAATGGGCTTTAATATACTAACCCCCGACGGACCAACGGTGAACGCATGTATGTCGGGGGTGGGGGTGTGCCCTAGCCTCAGCCGAGGTCACTGCGGTACATTTTCTAGTATTACCACTAACCCCAACTAGAATAAAGGCGAATGAATGAGGAAGGTTTGATAATTGTATAGTTTACTCTACTTAAAAATTTTTACGTAAGCGATTATTCCCGTAGCTTATTTTAAAAACCATTTGGCTTAATTTACTGAATTAAGCGGCTATCGTACGCGGAGGCCTTCGGATGACCCCTCTGTATTTCAATGCCATTATCGAACCATTACTCGGTCGACGGCCGGCGTTTAGAAAACTGAAAGATTGTGGGCAATTCAACCTACTTAACATTTATAAGTTGGTGGTTATAATATATAAGGTCCTTTCGAAGACCGCACAAGGAAACCTTACCCACGGTTTTTAAAGGACAAAATGCTGGGACTAAGGGTATACGAGGTGTACTACATAAACTACTTTTGCCTGAAACGTCTTTGTAGCTGCGAGCTAAAAGTTCAAACCCCTCTCAGGTATTAGTCACAACCGTATCAAAGGCTGTCACAAATACAGGTCTATTTCTTTCCTCCAGCAAATGGTACATGGGATAAACCATTCGCAAACTGCCAATAAAAGCGAAAATGCGAGTCCCAGGAACTAATTGAAAAGAAGAAGATAATGTGATTGCAGGGACAAGGCCTTTATTCGCCTAAAGTTTCAACATCCCATAAATGCTACAACTTCCTGTACATGCTTTACCCGTTTCTGCTGCGGTTTTCTGCTGATGTCTCTGTTGAAGGATAATCCACGATGGATGTTGAAATATAAAGCGGATAAAAGTTTTGTTCCAGCAATCGAATCGTCTTCTTCTCAATCCGCAAATTGTAACCCAGAGGCTCGTCAACTAGTCTATCCTCCTCTGCACGCATGGGTTACTTTTATTTTGCTTCTTCGATCTTGCCCGCGTCAACAGTCGCACACTACATGCATACCTACGCAAAACCTAGTGAGTTCATGGAGATAAGTTGCATGCACCCCAAGCGTCGGCGTGGAACAGTGCACTCGGTGAATCAGTGCGGACGAAACTGCACTGGTGGATCGTTGGCTCCATTTTGGCGGCACGTGGCACAAGCAGAGCAGTTGAGTGGCATCGATCGTGACCGACGCTTCTGGAACGTTATGGATATCGACGGAGTCGAAAACATTCCCGACTAACTCTGAAAACTGCCATACCAATGAGACCTTGGACTGATTTGTGTAGGCTTGCCATGTAGTCTGTCAGTAGCAGGTCAGCGCAGTTAACATTATTTAGGTGAGGCTCACCAACATATGCTGCAGTGCCAGCACGGAACGGTTTCGGTAACCCTGACTGCTGGGATTCTGTCCTCTCGATTTTAACTTAAAGAGCTCTCAAGTCTCTCGAGTGCTTGGATGTTTCAGAAAATTTCCGCAAATCTGTATCATGCTAAGTGCTTTTCTCGTTACTTCATCAACTGCGCACACTCACTGGGTATGTTTAATGACTCGAGCATTATGTGTGTACGTATTTTAAAGTTGAAGGAACGTTCAGTAGAGGTTGTGGCAGGTCGCACCATCTTCCTCGTGCAGGGGGGGCTACGTCTGGCGTGGCACCCAGTTCTCACTTGTGGCTCCCCGGAATTAGGCTCTGTCTAGCGGCCACTCTCCGCTAGCCGCCTCGATCGGTGGGCGAAACTATGTGAGGGTGTCTGGCGTGTGTCCTCCCCCACATCCGGTCTGCCCCCGTGTACCAATAGTAAGTATCATAGCAGACGTAGTAGGCGGAAGGTACAGTAGACGCCAAAGATCACGCAAGAGGCCGACATATGCGAAAGATTGATACTCTTTCGGTAATCGGCATTGACTCAGTTTATGATACTGATTTTCGTGTAGTCTATTTTGAAGTCATTTCAGTCGTGATAGGATGCGGGCTTTTTAACGAGCTTCGTGCTGACCACTAGCAAAACGTATATAATTTAAAAACTGGCTACATGAATAGTATGCCTTTTATCATTTATTTTGACTGCCTTTATAAATCAAAATATATATTATGGAAAACATGCAAGAAAAAATGTCTTGTACTTGTTTGATAGCAAATTACGCCTTCTTTAAATTTTATACACAAAGAAAGGGTAGCTTTCGGTTTTAAAAGTTGCTCAATTGCCGAATAATTTTGAAACCTACTGATTGCTACACTCGAAGTAAAAGTTTAAAAACTACGCACTGTTTACATACTGTTTAAGGTAAAGTACTTTTCGCCTACAGTTTGAGGAAGAAGTCATATGGTTGTCATAAAATGTTGAAATAGATGTGGAACATACATTAGACAGTATAGGCAGCATTAATAAATTGACGGATATGATATATTATGAATAAACACCTCACAATTGTAAAATAGCTCCTGATTAGCAACTTTTTTAAAACCGAAAGCTACCCTTTTTTTTGAGCATAAAATTTAAAGAAGGCGTAATTTGCTATCTAACAAGTACAAGACATAATTTTTTTCGTGCATGTTTTCCATAAAATATATTTGGATTTATAAAGGCAGTCAAAATAAATGATAAAAGGCATACTATTAATGTAGCCAGTTTTTAAAATAGATACGTTTTGCCAGTGGCCCGTTAAAATGCCTGCATCATATCATGACTGAAATGACCTCAGAATAGACCACATGTTAATCAGTATCACAACTTGAGTCAATGCCGATTACCGAAAGAGTATCAATCTTTCGCATATGTCGGCATCTTGCGTCTACTGTACATAGCTAGTTCCTGTATTCCATAGACATCATAACACTACTAGAAACAGTTTTCATATTCCCGCGCAAGAAAGGCGTATTAGTACGGGGGAGGGGTATATCAATGCGTCTGTTAATGGACCTGGAGTCAGATACCCACTCTCCCAGCAGTTCTTGCTCCGGCTCACACCATTATCTGGCCGACAGAGTATAGTAGAGAACGCACTCTTTCAACCAAATGGAGAGCGAGACTGTGATGTTTTGTAGGCGATCTCACTGTGTGAGCGTCTGACTGAGCCATTTTAGGCCACCCGGTCCGTCTATTGGTCGGCTTCGCGATGTTAGCAAACCGAGGACGGAGCCACGTTACTCAAGAAGTCCACGGTCACGGTCCTTTTCGTCCTCCCGAATAGCACATTGCGCGTGTACACAGGGACAATGTTCTACGTAGACGTGTCGGTTTTTGCTCGAAAAGCTGACGTCAACATAAACGAGTAAAAGGACACGATGCACATGATTACCTCTGAGGCTGGCCTGCTTTCCCGATTGCCTGGACAGAGGCATAATTGTTCTATGTAGTACGCCTAAAAACATCACAAGAGCATTGCTGGCAGTTGCTTTTCTATGCCTTAACGGAAAGGGAACGCAGCAAACAATTAGAAGATCAAACAGGTTGGGATGATTCCAGCACATAAAAAGGATTCACGATGAGGAAAAAGGGCGACTGTCGGCCCTTTTTGTTCTAATCGGTAGTAAGTTGATAGTTATGAGTGACAGTTAGAGAAAAAAGGTGCATTGATACATCTGTTCGCTCCATGCCCAATATGTATGATGTGGAGTCGTACTGCAAGAAGCTGATGGAAGGGAGGCAGTCGTTGATGAATGTTCATCCGACCGCTAACGGGACAAACCCGTCGCTCTCTGCCTTGGGTCTCGCCAGATGCCCTGACAGTCGTAACAACTAGAAGTGTAGGCAGATAGTATTGCTGGCAAAGGCAAAGGGGAATTGAGTGGGAATTTTTTGGCCTATTAGCCGTCGTCAGATACTGTCATGCATAGATGTAGGTCATAGATCAGGTGAACGCTGTTCATCAACGAGTATCAATATCCCCTGACCCAGACTGGCTAGGTAACGAGTTCATGGCTCAATGGTTAGGGTGTTTGACCCTGATCAAAAAGGTTGCGAGTTCGAGGCTCGAATGAGGCACCACTTGGATCGGAGTATGATTGGCTGACGACAGCCAATAAACCAGAAATGGCCATCCCAGTCTCCCTTTTCTTTGCCGGCAAAACTACCAGTCTACAGTACTGGCAGGGGAAGTATGTCTGCAAGGACTGGAGCAGGCGGCAAACGGCACCACACCATTCGGTTTAAAGCTTACTTCACGCGAAAATGTAAAGCCTTGAATCATAATAGTAGAATGCGTGAGCTAAGGTTGATACAAAATAAAATGACCGAAGAATTACCAGGTTTTGGTTGTATTGACAGTTACCCAAAAGTGTGCGATAACTGTCTGCTCCCGCTTAAGCAACACAGTGTCGAGGTGTAATCGCTTAACAGGGAGATGTTGTCTAGATTTAAAATCGGCCAGACGAAATTAGTAGGACAATTTTTACTGCAGCCGAAAGAGCAGATTAAGCAAAAACCTCAGCATGTTGGGAGCCAGCCAACGTGAGTTTCGATATGGGCTTGATACATGTACCCCCCAAAAATGGCCGGAAATTCGTTGAGGCCATGAACTCCAACGTTTCATGCATCAATCGGCAAATAAAATTAGATGGTATTTATGAACACTTCAAAGAACGGTGGAATGGAAGGCGGCATGACACAGACTAACTGGGGCCATACGTACAAATCAGGTCTCACCCTCTATAACTATTGATTTTTCCGCATGTATGAAATTTTAGTTGTTCATTGCACATTTCCTGTTAGTTCGAAAAAGAGCTCGGGCATCAGACTCTAAAATTCACTCATTAAAGTAACGTTTTATCCCAAAGAACATCTTTTTCTTCAAATTAAAATTCCTTGGGATTCGTGTTTTCCAATTGATACATGTCAGTCTGCAGCCAATCGTTGAAGTCACAAATATCGATCGGCGTTGTAATGCTTTCTGAATGGACGTTTCAAGATCTTTAAAAACAGAATATAAAACATATGATTTTAACAAAATCTCTAAAACAGCATCCATAAATATTTCACCTACGTACTGTAGCCGGTGAAATTTTCAGTATCCATTGGATAACCACAACTGCTGACGACAAGTTTGCGATTAGCTTTCAACGATTGGACTGGCTTCCACAACCTGGAAGGAACCTTACCAGTTAGCTTTTGTGAGGTCGTTTTATTATGCATGCTTATTTTATCTTACTGCCCTTTCGTTTGGGGACGGCAATGGTTCTTCGTGGGGTAGCGGTGACTTGTATCGATGCTTCACAGGACCCGGAAGGGGATGCACCAACAGTAAATTTAGGATTAAGGGGAGGGCTAAGGCTTAGTTTAGGATTAGGTTTAGGTAGGCGTTAAGTTCAGCGTTCGAGTTAGGTCCATGATTATGTTAAGAGTTAAGGTGTGGGTTCGCGTTTACTGTAGAGTTTACCTGCCTAACGGACGTGAACACTCACCGGGTGTCTTAAAAATCAGCCCGAATGGAGTTTAGGACGCGCGTAAGCTCATATTCTCATCTGTAATGCTTTTTGCAAACATAGGATGCATGTCAGCCATTGATACCATTATAGGAATATATTACTAGAATATAATAGACATTTCATAAAGCTAAAGAATTTCACAGGAATATTGTTCCCTCACAGAACTTCTGAATGCGCTTGCTATTTGAAAAAAAGCCCTGTATTTTCAGGGTGATAAAGTCAAGTATTTCAGTAATTTCTTTGGAAATGTTAACCATCCAAAGCCGATCGAAACCTGGGAAAATTTGTACGAGCAAGGAATGCTTATTGGCTGATTTTTTATTTTCACCAGCTACTGCGCACCTTAACGGGCCAACGTT